GGTGGATGCAAGGATGACTTCCTAAGACAGCTGATTGTGACATACACAGGTCATTACATACACAATACATTATACATTACACAGGAGATGCCATATTGACAGGGTTAGATAGGAGAGCTGCGGACAGTGAACCGCAATCCTCCTGTCTCCCCTCAAAATCCCCCAGCAGAGAAGCTGCACGCTCCATGTTCAGTAGGTCCAGATACTCCCTCAGCCATGAGTCCCTAGTAAAGCAGGCTGGTTTGCGTTCCTTCCAGTTTAATAGGATGAGTCTTTTTTTGCCCTGTCATGATGCGAACATTGTACCGTTGCTACAATAAATACAATCAATGGCTCCAAACCCAAGATGTAACACCACGAACACGTACGTGTGAAAAATGTCTGAGTGTACAAACACATTGACAGTCCAGAAAGTCCCAGAGTAAAATGAAACCATTACTTCAGCATTCGGGCGTCTGGCAGCCGGAGCAGAAACGTCCACACAGATCCACTCCTGGGGAAACCCTTCATCTGCCGTCTGGGTTTCCATGTTTTACCGTTGATGGCGAACTCTTGTGTCATGCTCCTGTTGAGCGTGAGCGCAGAGTCACTTCTCACCAGCGCCGTGAACAGAGAGCCTTTGCTGTTGACGAAATGTCCCGGTAGAGACGACCACTGCCCCGAGGTGAGATTATAACAGTCCATGAGGCATCTGAGGAAGTCGGCCGACGGCCCGTTTCTCACCACGTACAAGTTGTCCCTGTGGCCCACCATGCTGTGTCCGTAGCTCTGCTGCCGGATCAGCGTGGTAACAAGCCGCCATTCGTCTTTCCTTGACATGTACTCGTAGATCTCTGTGGTCTCCATCGGCCTCCATAAACACACAAATATCCGGCTCATGGCTTTGGTGCATGCCGCTCCTGCCGCCGGACGAGGTAAATGAGCGGCAAACTCCCATTTCCCGCACTTAACGTCAAATATTTCCACAGAAGACATCACAGTTTGCTCGTACTCTCCACCGATTGCGTAAAGACGACCATCGAGACCAACGAGGCTGAGGTTGTATCGCAGTTGCGCCGGACTGGATATCCGGCTCCATGTGTCGTTCTCGACGCTGTAGCAAAAACAGGAATCCACAACTTCTTTGTTGCGTCCATGAACTCCTCCGACGATGTACAGCATGTTGTCTAAAACGGTCACCCCAGCCATGGAGGTGCTGGCATCTTGCGGAAGATCTGTCAATACTTTCCAGTTGTTGGCAGTTTCATCCAAGTAGCAGACGGTCCTGGAATCAGTGTGTACAGTTTCATCTACACCACAAGATACATGAGCCCCAACAGCCACGAAAACACTCGGAGTCAAAGACTCCACGTAGGAGATCAGCTCTGACGGCAAGGATCTCTTCACCTCCGCCTCCAGGTCGGCGTACATGTTTCTGATGAACAGCGCGGCGGCAGAGTAAAGGTCCATGAGGCCGAAGGCGGCAGCGGTGTGAAACATCAGCAAACAGTTGTCAGAGTCGAGGAGGTTGATGAGATGCATGGTGAGAGGCGCCACCTGCAAGAAGGAAGCGCATTCGATGGCTTCGACGATCTCGTCCCCGTCCAGATCGATCATATCCCCTCGTAACACCGCCAGAGCGATGAGGAAACCTCGAGGGTGAAGAGACTTCAGGTGGATTTCCTCCTGCCAACACTCCTTCATCCCAGAGCGATACAAAGCTCGGAAGTAGTCGCAACTCTGAACAAGAAACATTTTCTCCTCAGAGAAGTGAGCGCCTCCGATCACAACGGTTAATTTGGCTGAGGAACAACGTGGCAGATTTATTTCGTCACAGCTGCTGCCGTCCTCAGACTCACTTCCCTGCGCTGACATTGCAATTCTCTGAAAGTGACCCTCAAGACAATAAGCTCCATGAAAGTGAAACCAGAGTTTGAAGCGTTTCCAGAAGTTGAAGAGCGAGAGCAAAGAGACACAGAGCGAAGCAGCTTCCCTCTCAGTTCATTCACAGCTCTCCAAAATAGATTCAGATAAAAATAGAAAAGAACAAATGACCCGAGTCACATTCATGTTGTGAACAAAAGGTCAGTGATACCTCCTGCAAACTTAAAGGTCACTTTGACCTAAACAGGGTTCTGAAAGAGTTTACTCAAATACAAAAAGGTGTAAAGAACTTTAGATTAGAAGCAACACAATCTCATCAAATCAAGGCTCTTTTAAAGGTGCTTTATGCATTTCTTTTATTGGATGATTGCCTCCACATGGCTCTCATCATTTAAGAATACTATATAGAAATTACGAAGGATGTATCAAGTAAAAAGTATTCATACCATATAACTCAAGCCTGAAGGACACTGAGGTCACAGTTTTCTTAATTGCAAATTTGGGCATTTTGCAACAAACTATTAGCAATTAGACTTTATTTTTGACAATTTCTGTCATTTTAATGCATGTCGGAAATTAAAACTGCTGAAAGTTTGATGAACAATGGCTGTAAAATAAATATAATGGGACATCTCAAGCCAGTTAGCTTAGCTTAGCATGAAGACTGTAAACAAGGGCGAAGAGCTCTCGTCCTTTAATATTATAGTATTAGTATAGTAGCATTAACGCCATTGACATATTCCACATATAAACACCACATTAACACAACTTAAACTAAGTGTGTGAAGATGGAAAGAAAACACAACAATAAACACAAGACTTTTAGCCCAAACTTCTGAAAGGCTAATAAGTAAACAGTGATGTTGTTTGAGAGATATGTAACCTCTGAGCTCAGATCAGTTTGAAGAACAACAGCAGCCCTTTGTTTGTCTTTACTTCTGTTTCCTTCTGATCTGTCTCTTTCACGTTCACTTACAGTGAGGGGGGAGGGGCTGACCTACATTTAGGCTCTAGGGGGGGCAGAAATTCAGAAGGTCATGTGACACCTCAGTCAAAACCGTCTCCAGCTGTTTGTAAGCAGACAGAGGGGATTGTGGGAAATGTTGTACTGCTGCTTGGGTTACACCAAAACACAGGAAGCGGAGGAAACAATGCCAGGGGACGAAGTTATACAATTACACACACAAATGAGGTGTAAGAAAACAAAAAACATAAAATAACTATATATTATGCGGGTAAAAAGAGGTAATGTAAAGATATTTTTGGGTAAAACTTTCTGTGGTGGCTTTCTATTTAATGAAATATAAACATAGGGTATTAATAATGTGTTTAGTCTGCTTATACTCTATATGGTTTTAAGGATGCAAACAAATTAAATATACTCAATGAAACCACTATTAACCCATTTTAAAGCATTTTAGAATGACTTACAAGGTCGAGTGTTGTACTACTCACTTACATTTAATCAAGGTATTATTAATCCTATAGTTGTGATAGATTATTATATTTTTACAATGCAATATATTTACTTTTATAATGTATTGAAATAGGTTTAAAAGTCACTGTAAGAGGTTATTGTTTGCTTGAAGTCGAACTGGAAATGTAAGTGGAACTAGAAACTATTTTGAATACTTATTGTTTTAAAATGCACTATACTGTCTTTTGATTATTGTATTAAAGTAGTAGGAATGGTTGTGCTTATAAGTGCTATGTACACAGAGTATAACGCATAAGTATGTTTGTAGAGAAAGGCATCATTTATTTCAATTATCTTTGTTTTTACATTCAGTTTAAACATTACACTGCCTACAAAATAATATGTAAATTGCAGGTTAAGATATATATATAAATGATCAATGGACAGCTTTAAATATGAGTTTGTACCTCGTTGGATGATATAAATACATACAAATGATTATTAAGGGTTTTATGAAAAAGCATAGAAACTGTATATTGCTGTTGTGGATATATGAACCATATTTGGTGGAAAAGACACATAATTATAATCGGGAGTAATCAGGAAAAAACAGAAGTGGCAAGGAGTAAACACTGACAACAGCACCTCGTCTCATGCCTGTTATTTTGGGTGCTGTTGAAATGCATTCTGGGAAAAGTAGGAAATCCCTGCTGCAGACGAGTCACGCTGAGGGCATTGGGTTCATCTGAAAGTAAACACTGAGATTTTGTAATACATGTGTTAATGCACTTTTATAATAAATAACAGAATAAATACATTGATTGTTTCACTTATATTACTATTTATACCTTTATAATTGTAGTCTTTTAATGTTATTTTTCGATAGGTTTTTTTGTCATGTGATTGTTTTGAAACCGCTCTCTGATGCACCGCAGCACTCCCGGAGTGACGACCTCTGTATCCTTGCGCCAGTCCTACTACGTACAACTAGTACGTCTATTTAATCATTGATTTCGTGCTCGCTTTTCACCACACCGACTTCAAATTCACCGTGAACCCAAACTAGTTGATACACCTGTTTATCCATGTGTTAGTTTGGGATATGAAGCGATGGTGAATTAAAGTTCAGCGGGGGTCAGGCGGAAGGATCCGTCTGATCTTTTTGTAAACATTGGCAGCAGCAGCAGCGAGTCAGAGTGGCGCGCTTCTCTGGATGCTTGGACTTTTTGCACCAAAACATTGATGGTTTTTCGCCCTATAAACGTCTCATTTTTCCCGTAAAACGAACCAAGGACTGTGCCGTTATCTGGGATTAAATACGTGAACATTTTTCAGGTATATTTTTTGATTTTGGGGCAGCATGCTGCTCTCTAAACTGGGCTCCTTCTCACATCGCGGCCAGCATGGACATGCCGGCGAAGCTGCAGCAAGGTAACGTGTTTTGTAACCCGTGTTACATAGAAAGGTACTTTATTGATCCCACATTTTGACATTATTTTGCTACAGCAGCAATCTTAAAATCTTTAAGGTGGAAAAAAGTATAAAATAATTTAAAATCAAAACAATAAACATCATTAAGTCTATATTCATATCAGTAGAAATGACATTTAACCCAAAGAATAATCAATATAACATGTTTTAGATAGATTTAGATTGAAAAAACCCAATATATTACCAGTTGCAGAAAAACATACATTATGATAGTATGTCGTATGTGGCGTGTCGTACTTAAACCCAACCTTTAAAATGGACACGTGGGTTTTTATGGGAGTAGATTGGTCTCATAAATGAACGTGTAAATACAAAGCACCTTCCACAAATGCATTAAAAAGTGTTGCAAATTCACAAAAAAAAAAAAAAAGTGTAAAATGGATATGAAAAATAATTCCATAAATAAAAAATGATATGTGAATACTATTATTAATTTATTATTATCTATGTATGTCTGGTACACACAGGGAGACCGAAATGCTGTTTCCCAAATATTAAAATATAGAAATACTGTGTATGAACATAAATACACTATATTAAATGAAATAGGAACAACAGAAAATGTATAAAAATAGCAGTCTGGTAGTTAAAAACAGATGGATATGACGAGAGTACAAATACAAGTAGTGGAATAACTGTCCATAGCATCATCGTATCTCGTGCTGCAGGTGCCAACATGTGTAGTTGCCTTTAAAAACAGCCTATGATAGTTACCACCTCATGATGATGCCGACAGTCCACCATTTTTAAACAGCTGACACAGAACAACAACAGGGGTCACCTGAGGACGTCTGTTGGTTTTCAGTGATATATTTGTGTATTTCAATAAGAAATTAATGCTATATATTTAAAAAAAATCACATATTATGAGCTTAAATTGAAATGATAGCACACCAGGGACAAACTGTGTCCTTGTGATGTTGTTGTATTGCTCGATGGGGTTGGGTGGGGTTGCAGATTTTGGCGCAACTCAACCTAAAACGTCCTAATCTTATGAATTATTGCTGATTTTTTAAACTTTGTTTCTGTGTTTTTACAGCTAAAGTGGAGAAGCAGCCGTTTGAGAAGGTGTACCGGCTGGGCTCGGTGCTCGGTAGCGGGGGATTCGGCACGGTTTACTCTGCTGTCCGCCTGGCCGACGGGCTGCCGGTAAGAGCCGCTTTGTTTTGGTCCCGGCAGCACGTGGATTCATGGGCGAAGTTACACACTGTGGGGAAAAAGCGTTTCCGGTGGTTGCCTTCCTTCAAAACAAAAGCGTTGCTAAACTCTTCAAATGTACAGCATTTCAGATTGAGTTTGATATTTTATCAGGATTTCTTTTTGCATCTTTTCCATCATAGCTTTGGAAGTAAATACATGTTTACAAGTCAAACCCACACTAGCCTATTATATTTGATTTTATTATATCTACATCATTAAAGAAATGTCTTCTACAGACCATTCAAACACGTTTACCATAATTAATTACACGTTTCTTTTGTCTCTAATAGCATAGTATAAGATATATTATGGTGAAAGTCTTTGAAATAACAAAAACGTCCACATTTAATAGCTTTTTTTTCCTACTGAGCTGATAGACGATCAGATTTCCGGGTGGATTTCTGTGGTCTTTTTTTGGCCCTGATCCGAACATCAACGCACTAGTCCACTGCGCCACCGCCTCCCTAGCTTACAAAATAAATGACACATGTTTATTCAAATGAAACGATATACAATTCTTATTGTTTAACTCAACCGTCATGTGCTTTTATTTTGAAGGCAGATTCTATTCTTTTCCTGTTTCACTCTTGTCAGCTGTGCAGCTTGACAGCAGTCCTGCTTTGTATGTGGTCTTTGTTTACACAAAGAAACATGGTCATAACGCTTTACTTTCATGTTTAAATTGAAACCTAACTACGTCACCTTATTTTCTTCAGTAACAGGAAATGGTTCAATTTGTCATTAATCTTTTTCTAAATTAACCCAAAACAAAGAAATACTTAAAAGAAAAACAAAGAGCTTCAAGTCACATCTTTTTTCCTTCTATATTTAGAGATCATTTATGTTACCGTTTCATATCCTATATTATATGTGATTATGTGAGTGCTGTGTGCTAAGTTTCCTTTTGTTTAATGCAGGTGGCGGTGAAGCATGTCTGCAGGGACAGAGTGACCGAGTGGGGCTCTCTGGTGAGATTTACCTTTAGATTAACACCTCCCTGTAAGATTGATTACTACATTTACTGTAAAATGATGTGCATTAGCTCTGCCTATAAATATAAAGCATGTGCAATATACCCTTGTACAATTCACGCCTCATTTCTTTCCATTCTGCAAACCGTACCAGCTGCCTCTTTCATTTGATATGGTCCTTCTTTAAAGAAATATAGTATATAATATGTATATTTATCATGGTCTACTTATCTGCTATTTGTTTTTGGTACTTATTGTGTTTTATAATGAATAATAATGAGTTATTTTTTAATATGTAAGTCTGTTCTCTTTATCTGCATTATACTTGTGCTGTTGTAATAATGTAAATATCCAAATAATGGGATTCTGATTCTGATGATATGCGATATCCTTTGAGATCAAACCCTTTTCATGGCCAGTGAGTTGACGGTATGTTTCCCTCTCAGAGCGGCACCGTGGTTCCTCTGGAGATCGTGCTGCTGAAGAAGGTTGGCGGAGCGTTTGGAGGCGTAGTGCGGCTTCTCGATTGGTGGGAGCGGGCCGACGGATGGCTGATGGTGATGGAGAGTCCAGAATCGGGGCAAGACCTGTTTGATTATATAACCGAGCAGGGCGCATTAGAGGAGGCGGCGGCACGAGGATTCTTCCTGCAGGTGCTGGAGGCCGTGAGGCACTGCTACACCTGTGGAGTCGTCCATCGAGACATCAAGGACGAAAACCTGCTGGTGGACCTGAGGACCGGACAGATCAAACTCATCGACTTCGGATCAGGAGCCCTGCTCAAAGACAGCGCCTACACCGAGTTCGATGGTGAGTCATGTGATCTAATGGCTAAGACAAGATGGAACTTTATTAATCCCCGTGGGGAAATTCAGTAGTTTAACTGCAACAGGGTAAGAATGAAAAACAGGACGGCACAGATTCATACAGATTGGGGGGTGGGGGTGGGTGCTAGTGGAGCACGCTCATCAACGGGCTTGCTAGTGGAGCAAGCTTGTGAACTGTTCGCCGGAGCCTCGTAGCGGAGTTACTGTGGAGCGCATAAAGCAGGCCCTTCACGCGATAGCAGAGCGAACAGGTACAGGATAGTTAATCGATCGCAGATGGCATCGTGCTCGCGGACGGATCCAAAAAGATTAAACCTACTCTGGCGGACGTTAATATACCTGGGTAAAGTAAGGTAAGCTCTATGTGTGGGAAACCCTGTGTTAGTCTTACATTATTCAATACATAACATACCTACTGCCCTCTCCTCCTCCAGGTACGCGGGTGTACAGTCCGCCCGAGTGGATCCGTTTCCAGCAATACCACGGCCGCTCGGCCACCGTCTGGTCGCTGGGCGTGCTGCTGTACGACATGGTGTGCGGAGACATCCCCTTCGAACAGGACGAGGAGATCCTGAGAGGGCGGGTCTACTTCAGACGCCAGATCTCCTCAGGTCAGTCGGAGTGTGACGTGATGGTTTTCTTAAAATAGTTCTCTATCTGTGTTTTTACATTTTAGTTTTTGTTTTATGTATGCACCACGACACCAAGTCAAATGCCTCGTACGTGTCAACCTACCTGTTTCCGATTCTTATTTGATGTTGTTTACAGAATGCAAGCAGCTGATTGGTTGGTGTCTGAGCCAGCAGCCGTCGGACCGACCAACCCTGGAGCAGATCTTCCTCCACCAATGGGTGACGGGCAGCGAGGTGCAGCACACAGACAGCATCACGCTACACACCATCACAGCAGACTCGTCGTCCTCGTCGTC